AGAGAGGATAGAAAGGTGTCCCCTGGACTTGGCAGTTAGGTCAGCAACATTAGTGAGGACAGATTCTGTGGAGTGTTGGAGGATGAGGCTCGGTCCTGCAGGCGCTCCTTCAATCAGCTCTGCCTTCCAGAGAAGGAGGCAGATGGAGTGGAACTTCGTAAGGGATACATGGTCTGTTCGATAGGGGATTGTGGAGGTCTTCTTCTTTTTCTCTCTTAAGTGAGAGAGACTTGCGTCTGGCACACAGGTGCAGTGAGCACTCAGTAATGTTAGCGGTTGCACAGAAAGCAAAGACAGAGGCTCCCACTGTTAGACTAGCATCCCTGTGAGATAAGATGGGAGAAGTAGGGGGAGATGCAGAGAATCAAGAAGATAAGGCATTGCTTCTAGATGCTCTAAACTCTGGGGTTTTACTTCCTAAATTTCACTTCCCCAGCAATAAGTATTTTAAATGGTAAGACCTAACAGCTGAATTCAGTGTTCTCTGAGTGCTGCTGTATAGCACATCCAAACACAGAATCCAGCTTTCTGGAAATAAAGACAACCAAACATGAAGGTCTTTACATCCCGGGGCTATTGAGACTTACACGGGAGGAATTAAATAGGATTATGAGCTTTCCTGATTATTCAGCTATAGACATAATTATGGGATTTAAAAAGTGTCCATTCTTGCTCAGTGAGATGCTAAGGTATTCACAGCTGAAATGTGAAGCTGGAAAGCTCAGGAAACATTAGGGACAGAGTCGAGGGTCATCCAGTTTGCTTTTGGGTTGATAACAAGCAATCCAAACCCCACACACACAACAGGTCAAGAGACCCCCAATACCAGTGGTCAGTGGGAGGTAGAGCCCTCTCCTTGTAACACCTGGAGGGCAAGGACCAGGGCCTATTAAATGTTTCTCTCCAGACCTTCCAAGAACCTTCGTCCAGGGCCACTCCTGCTTATCCATGCATCAGTCACTGCCTCCATCAACAGGTGGGAAGAGAAAAGGGAGGAAAAGGGGTGCAAAACACCCCCACAGGCAGCACATTCCCGTCAGGAACCTCCCAGGCAGCTCCTGGTTCCAGATAAGAGATGGTACAGACCCCGGGCACTGCCAGGGGCCTGGAGGGATGGCAGCTTTGGTGCTACGGACAACGTGAGTCCTGGATGGAGAACTATGCATTTGGCAGTTCCATGCTTTTCTGGGCAACCCCAATATCAAATATTTCCTGTCTTTCTGCCTTACAAGTCATCAGAACACCACGGAAATGCCAATGTATACCTCGCTAAGCTTCTCATCGCCCCCTCAACTCGGCACAGCACAATACTCCGCTCTCTTGGATGGGGGATACCTGGATGGGAGCTTATAGGGAGCTTAAAGGTGGTAACCTTGTGCCAGACCAGAAAGAGAGGAGACTCTTCAAGAGGAGTCACTGGCACACAAACACAGCACTGCTGGAACCTGCTCCGCCACACTGGAGCCATCAGAGCACACACGTGACTTCTTGCAGAAGGGGCCAGTCATCAGCTCTGGAGGACAAAACTAAGGTGCACTTTGGACTGTTAGTGCTCCAAACCATTTGGTTTCACAAAAACTGCATTGATTCCATAAGCAGTGCTGTGCATTACAGCTGAGGTCCACCCCATCTCAGGGAGCAAAATTAATTCTTTCTGTCCCACTGTTTCCTAGAGTCTCATCCATTTTCTATTTGTTTCAACAGAGGTGTATTCAGTTCCTACTGTGTGCCTGGTTCTGTGGACAGAGTAGAATAGTAGTCTGTGCTCTAGACAGGCCCACAGGCCAGCAGGGAGAGACAAGTAGCCACCCACAGTGAGGGTTCTGTGGTTGGCAGGCCACGAGGTGCTGTGGATGGTGAGGAGGGAGACTCTATGCCACATCCTCAGGGATCAGTGTAAACACTGGTGACCCTGCGGGGGCGCCAGGGAAGGGGGCGGAGGAGGAACAGAGACTGACTGTTAGAAGAGGCTGAGAGTGCATCAGGCAGCCTGGCTGGGCTGGAAGTGGTAGCAGCTCACTTTGGCACCAGGTGGATGAGGCTGTGAGCGGTGTGGGTGCTGCGCCCAGAGGCAGGCACTGCTCTGGAAATGGGATACAGTCACTCAAGATGGAGGTGACTCTTGACAGTGGTAGCAATGAGGGGGCAGGGAGAGCTCTCTGGACATGACAGAGAGGCTTGAGACAGGATGGGGACACACACTGGGGTGCAGTATGGGCAGAGAGGGCAGGAAAGGGAATGAGGAATACTGTAAGGCAATCACAGGACCTGAGGAAGCGGGTCGGGAGGAAAGCAGAGGTAACTCCCAGGGCTCGGGTATCTGGGAGATGATCAGAGGAACGATATCCAGACACTTGCATCAGGAAAGCAGAAGAATGAAAGAGCCTAAGAATGGGGCAGCCCTCAGCGTCACCCGCAGCACAGGGGGCACTGCCAAAGAGTCCAGGCCCCAGGGGGCTGAGGAGGGGTGGGAACCCACGAGGCAGAGTCACGGATGTGAACTGCTGTGTTAAGTTGGCTGGGAAGGGACAGAGAGAGGCAGTGATGAAGGCTGGGCACTGAATCAAGGAAAGTGAAAAACATCCAGCCTTTCTTTCTAGGTTGGATCAGCAACTTGAACTTGCCCCCTGCCCTCCCTCAGCCTCTCTCTAGCACCAGCTCTGAAAGAGTCAACCCACCACATGCAGCAGACTGCAGAGGCTGGAGACAGGACAGTCCTGAAAACAGGGACAATGAATCAGACCACTCACACTGCAATCAGGAATAGCAGTGCTATTCCCGTGAGGAATAGCAAGGGTCTGCCTTACAGAGGAACTGGGTTTGTGACAGTCAAACAAAGTCTGCCAGCGTCCCCTGAGAAACACGCTGGGACCTCAGTATGGGCTATATATCTTAGATGCTGGATATATATGTATGCTCACTGTCAGATGCCTAATTCCTTAATACTGATGGATTGGGGAGCAAGACTTAAGTACCAAAAGGTCTAAGACACATGTTTTTAAAGTAAGTCCAAACTTTCCCGTGAATGGAGTGGTTACTCACAATTCAAAGTTTTTAAGCACCTTTAGAAATCTTACCCTGCCGAGGTCATTTAGTTTAAGTTAATGTTAGGATTTTTCGTGACTATTGCCAATAAAGCAAATGGTCACATAAAAACCAGGTAAATTGCAAGGCTGTGGCAGCTGCCAATGTGATGTCACTTAGATAGAGTTACAAATATTTTTCTGTCAGGAGGGAGAAAAGATAGATAGAACAGAGGATGTGCCAGCAATTTAAAATGCTCATTCCCCTCCTGGCCTCAGGGGATGGCCGAGGGGACAGGGCGCTTCTCTACCTCAGGCAAAAGGCAACAGCATCCACGGCCCTCAACCCCCTTCTCACGGTAGGCAACCCAAGTCATGGAGCAGGAAGCCACAGTCTGCTAGACCCTCTCCGCACACCCAGTAAGTCAGGGAGAGAAGGGGCCACGTCAGAACCTGGAAGGCCCATCCCTCCCACAGCCAGAGCCAGGAGCTGCCTCCCGCCCACCTCCCTGTGCAGGAGATGAATGTTCATGGCTGCTACAAAGGCCGTGAGCAAAAATCTTATATACAGCTCTCTAATCATAAACTGCCCTTGCCTTATAAACTTTTCTTCAAGGAACACAATGATGTCTTCAAAAATGTATTCTAGATAACACTCTGAAATGACCGAGTTAGAAAGTCTACTCCTTCTTAATCATGCTACGGGTCCCCTCTGATGGCTGGAACCTCAGTGTGAAGTTTTTGTTTGTTTTTTAAGATGAAAATCCTGGAGTCACAAGGGCCACACAAAATATACATAACCATTTATTACACATGGCCTTTCTGAATGGCCTGGCTTCTTAGAAAAGAAAGCATTTTTAAGCTGTGCAATTGCTTTTCTGCAGCTATCTCTCCATTTTAATTCACTCTAGCATTTGAGGTTTCCCCCCTCCCCCTGCCAAGCTCCATCTTTGGAAAGTATTAACAAACAGGTCACCTTGCTCCTCCTCACTCCAGAAGGGTCAGCACACCCGGGACCTGTCAGCCTCAGAGTTCAGATGCTCCCTCCCTCTGGTTTTGTTCCCTTGTCGACCTGAGTCTGGGAGTATTGGAAGGAGCATAGATGGAGAGGGTAAAAATAATGTTCAGAATTGCGACAGGATTTACCCAAATTTTTGTTTCAGGTTTCAAAGTTGATCTCACAAATCCGGTCTTTTCAAAAGCCTAGGATACCTCAAAGCAATTTAGTTCAGCTCAGTGGGGGCTGTGATGTCTGCATTTACACTCCCTCTGCTGGGACCGAGTCTTCAGAAGACCAGGAGGCACCTTTTGGGCACAGAGCCCACACGAAGTACTTTCTAGGTACCCACAGTGTTTGGCTGGGGAGGGAGGCGCCTAAGGTTGTGAGATTTCTGCAGCCAAATATGGGAACCACGTGGAATGGGACAAATCGCGCCGTGGGGTGTGCTGGCCCCTGCAGAAAGGGAGCCAGAAAAACTTTGCTTTGGTGGCGCCGCAGCTCAGTGGGTAGGGCCCCGGCCACATACACTGAGGCAGGAGGGTTCGAACCCGGCCCAGGCCAGCTAAACCACAATGACAACTATAACAACAAAAATAGCCGGGTGTTGTGGCAGGCACCTGTAGTCCCAGCTACTTGGAAGGCTGAGGCAAGAGAATTGCTTGAGCCCAGGAGTTGGAGGTTGCTGTGAGCTGTGATGCTACAGCTCTCTACTCAGGGTGACAAAGTGAGACTCTGCCAAAAAAAAAAAAAAAAAATGCCCAATTCCCTCTGTGCCAAGTCGTCCTGGGCAGCCACTTGTCCTCGTGGAGGCAGAACTGAAGCTAACTTCCCAGTGCAGGACCAAACTTAGGGACTAAGTTAGAGTGAAGGGTGAGGGGCGCCAGGCACCTCGGAGGAGAAAGGCATAGGATTGCGGGGTCGAGGCCAAAATCAGAGGGCAGGGAAGGGCGGACCCCAGCACCTGGTGTGGCGCTCACCTGCGTTCCGGAGCTTGCGGTTCCTGAGCACGGAGAGGATGACCAGGAAGTTGCCCACGACGTCCACGGCAGTGGTGACGATGAGCACGGTGGAGAGCGCGGGGGCCACCCACGGAGGCCGTGGGGTCCCGGAGGCCCGCGTACCGCCCTCCCCCGGCCAGCCCGGGCCCGCCGCCCGCCCGCCGGGCTCACAGCAGTTCGCAAAGGAGCCGTTCCCCGACATCACCAACGCTCCCGACCGACCGCGCGCCGGGCACCGCGCGGGGACAGCCACAGGCGCCAGCGCAGAGCCCTGCGCTCCCCCGCCCGCTGCCCGCTTCCCTGCGCTGCCCGCGCGGGCGACTGGGGAGGCCGGCGGGAAGGGCCTCGAGGGGATAATTACTAAGCGCGGCCAGACAGTGGAAAAAACACAGGAGTGAGAGACTTGATGTGCAGTCCCTGTCCAAAGGAGAGCGTCTCTCAGTGGCGCGCTCAGGAACAGCCAGGACGCCGCTGCTGGCGCCGCCACCTGGAGCCCAGCACGTGTCTGACCCACCCAGGCGGCAGAGCAGTGTCTGGCTTCTGTCGCAGAGCCACAGACAGCCTGAAATCCCTATTTCCTCTGCAGCTTCCTCCAGAGAAGTCGTGCCCAGGGAGGGACACCCAGGTTTGCGGACTGGAGAAGGGGCTGATAACTGGGTCCTGCCCACTGGTTGTCAGAAAGACAAGGTTTGAGGTTCCCAGTGACTGAGCAGCTCCACGGGGATGTAACTCCTGGGGTGTGAGGACAGGTCCAGGATGGAGGGTTAGACGCGAAGCAGCTGCTAAGAAAGGCCAACCTGGCGCCCTTCACTTCGCGCGTGTCTCGTGCTATGGGAGGTGTTGGCGGTCTCTCTGCTGGGTGCCCTGTATAAAGGCAACACTGCAATAGATTTATGAACGTCTGTTTAAACATAACACTTAAATGAGCCATTACCAGAGGTTATTATAATGTGGCTGTTGGAACGGTTAGGACAGGAGCAAGAGTGAGGCATAATTACAGGAAAGAAGGAACTCAGGTGTCCCTTATTTAAAACATTTGTGCTCTTACTCTGAAGAAATAATAATAATAACTACCCTCTTTAGAAGTCTGATTTTATGCTAAGCACTGTCCTAAGCTCTTTTCACACCTACTAGAGTCACTAAAATCAAAATGACTGATAATCATAAATTTGGGGAGGATGTGAAGTAACTGGAACTCTCATGCGATGCTTTTGTGGGAATGCAAAAATGGTACGGCCACTTTGAAGAACTGTTTGTTAATTCCTTATAAACTTTAACATACTCTTGTTCTATGACCAGAGATTCCAAAGTAAACTGAAAGTATATCTCCACAGAAAGATTTGTGCAAGGCTGTCCAGAGCTGCCTTATTGATAGCAGTCCCAATCTGGAAACAACCCAAATCTCCAGCAACAGAAGAATGGATAAACCAATAGTGAGTGGTATGTCCATGCCATGGAATACTACTCAGCAATAAAACTACTGATGTACACAACGCATGGCATAATGGCAGAAATGTTATATTGAACACAAGAAGCCAAATACCAAAGAGTACATACATACTATATGATTCCAATTATATGAAGTTCAAAATCATGAAAAATTATGGGGATAGAAATCACCATCAATTCTGGGCGACTGAGCATGAAACAGGAATTTACCTTGCACTGCCCTAGAATGTGATTTCCACCTTGGCTTTATCCACAATTGTGTCTCTCAAGACCCTTGAGCACCAGGCCCTGGGGTACTCTCTGCCTAGGAAGTCACTGCTGCATCCTTGCATAGCCAGCCAGGATGTGTCTGAAAAGTTCAGGGGAGTCGTACAGCCACTTTGAAAGGTAATTTGGTTTCTTACCAAACTACACATACTCTTAGCATATCATCCAGCAGTCACTGTCCTCAGTGTTTGCCCAGGTAAGCTGAGGCTTTGTCCATGCAGGAGCCTGCATACAGACATTCATTCATAATGCCCAACTTGGAAACAACCAAGATGCCCTTCAGCAGGTGAATGGAAAAACAAACTGTGGCACATCCAGAACTGGGATACTGTTCAGCACTATGAAGAAATGAGCTATCAAGCCATGAAAAGGCATGGAAGAATATTAACTCTCTATTACTAAGTGAAAAAAGCCAATTTGAAAGGGCTACATACTGTTTGATTCCAACTCTGGGAAAGGCAAAACCATGGAGACAGTAAAAAGATCAGTGGTCACCTGGAGTTTGAGGGGAGGAAGAGAAAGCTGAGCAGGTGCCGCAGAGGACTTTCAGGGCAGTGAACTTGGGCTGTTATGATGGTGAGTACATGGCGTCGTACATTCGTCCAGACCTATGGAACACACAACACCAAGAATGTAAACGCCAGCATCGTAAAACCTCCCAAACACTAATGTAAACTAAAAGGATGATACCCACAGTAGGTGAAGCTAATAGTTTCTGCCAACAGTAACATGAAATTTTAAAGGAGGAAAATCAAAGCCTGGAGAAGGAGAGGGAAAGAGGCAAAGGAAATAGATTCAATCACTTCTCGGCCTTTTGGCTAAGATCAGGTGGAGTGTAGGAAATAGATTCAAGATTCCTAAGTGGTTTCTTAACAAAATAAATTTATATTTTGAATGCCTACACATTCATTTTCACAAAAATGAAAATGTTCATTTCACAAAAATGAAGTTACCCCCAAGTTCAAATTCAAATCAGTATCTTCCCATAAAAGCTTAGCTTCCCACATCCTGACAATAATACCCTTCTCAAACTACCTTCAACCAGACCATGTCTTGTCACTTCTCGATAGGGAAGGCTGGGAAGCAGACGGTTTGAGAGGCAGGAATGATTGGTCCAACTGGAAAAGAAGGACACTGACTATCAGAAGAAGCCACTTGCCAAGGATGGTGACTGACAAGCTAGCTGCCTCATGCAATCCTTTTTTGAAAATTAAGCATGTGAGGGTTTTTACTCCCTCAGTATGAAATAAAGAATATAAGCAAAATTTTCTTTTGGTAATCAGCTTGTGACATGGCTGAAACAACACTTGACTTTTTACTGATGACATAAGCAATAGTTATAGCAGCCACAGCTAATACTGAGTGTTTACTCTGTAGTAGACACAGGGGACATATGGATTGTTTGTTTAATCCACATATCTGTAAGAAAGGGAAGCTATTACTGTGTACTGTTAAAAAAAAAAAAACAAAAAACAAAACCCTGAGATTTAGAGAGATTAAGAAACCTGCCCCATGACATGGAGCCTGTAGCTCAGTGAGTAGGGTGCCGACCACATACATCAAAGGTAGCGGGTATGAGCCCTGCCTGGGCCTATTAAACAATGACAACACAAAAATAACTGGGAGTTCTACTTGCGAGGCTGAGGCAAGAGAATCGCTTAAGCTCAAGAGTTTAAGGTGAGCTGTGACACCACAGCACTCTATGGAGGGCGACATAGACTGTCGAGAGAGAGAGAGAGAGGGGGGGAGGGGGAGGAGGAGGAGGGGAGGAGAGGGAAGGGGAAGGAAGGAAGAAACCTGCCCCAGCTGGTTGTCTCAGAGCTAGAAACTGAATAGAACCTGGTGCTGTTTTGTTCATACAGTGGGGAATCTTAAAATCTCTGGACCTTGTCACCTCAAGGGAAGGAAAGATGATGTTTAAACTCAGTGATGTTTAGCAGATTGAGCCCCGAGAGAAAACAGAATAAGACTCTAGGTGTTCCTTCTGTCAGCTTTGAAAAGGATAGGTTTATAGATCACTGAGACCCCAGAGCACTGCCTAGCATTGAGAAGCAGCCCTCATCTTCCCTAAGTGAAGAATAATGTGGATAGAGAGAGATTCTACAACAAAGCATAAAAACAAAACAAAACGACACCACCTTCCTTTCTGGGCAGTCTGCCTCACACGTCCCAGCACAATGCCCTTGGCAGCAAATGGTTACCCAACCACTTGCTGGGGGCCACGCCAAGCTGGGCAGGATCACAGCAGGCAAGTTCTCTTTACTGTTGGTTGCACAATCTCTATCTTTTCTGACTTTTCTTTTCCTTTGGGGAAATAGGGTGAGAGTCCCTGTCCTCCTTACTTCACATTTGAATCTAATGTAACACCTCAATGTTCAAGCAGAGGCCTATTCCATCTCTTGGAATATACTGAAACCTTAGTAAGTCAAGGTCAAGGTTTCTGTATTATCACATGTGCCTGGGATGTGTTATTTAGTATTATATATGTACATGTATGTGTGTGTGTGTGTGTGTGTGTATACACACATATACTTAAACTTATAAATTTATTGACATATAATATATAATTCAATCTTTTTTTGTTTTTGGCTTATTGGAAAATTTTTTTAAAGTTTGCAGTTTACTAGAACCACATACTTTTCTTGTAGAGATAAATAATAAGCCGAAAATCATAAGCAGAAAAATTCAAGTGAAAGGTCTGTATCACTTTTGGGATGGTTTTGACTTCTACAGAAGAATGTGCATTTTGGAACCTTAATGCTTGTTTTCAAAACTTAGGGGTGAGAGGACTCAGCCGTAGGAAGGTGAATCAGAGGGCTCGCTATTAGCAGGTAAGTCCTGGTGAGAGTGGCGGAGTCTGAGTGCTTGTGTGGACTCCACTGTGGGAGAGGAGGGTGCTGCCTTGTGGTGTCTGGCCTGTGTCACCATCTCCTCTCTCAGGGGCGGGGCTTAATCTCTCTCCAGGGCCCCAGCAGAGACACCCTCAGCAAACTAAGCTTCTTCCCCAGACCCTGGCTGCAGTTTGTTTTTCTATCTTAAAAATATTGTCTAATAATGAGAAATAGAAGGAGAGGTTGAACATGTATTAAGTGCCCATTACCTGTCAGAGATATTTTCATTTCATACTCAAGTAGTACAGACCTCTTATCCATCCAGACATATGGCAACTTCTTCAGGGCAGGGTCCATTTCTTCAAGGAAGGAAACCAATTTTGCATGCAGAATTATGGCTCACCAAGTGTTGATTAAATATTTTAATTAGATGTCAACAATTTCGCATCTCTTAAAAAATTGGAGATCTGGCCTGCCTGTCCTGACTACTGGCAGAACCTAACGGGGCTGGCAGTCCTGCCTCACTTAGAGGTGAGCTGCACCCGCAGGGCATCACAGTCGCCACTGTTCCCCAATGTGTTCTTGACAGCAAAAGAGAATAAAATGCCACCAATTGCCATGCTTATATTGTTTCATCACAGTAAACAGGAAAGTTAAGTAT